AAAAAGCCCCTCTTTTACCCTCAAAGATTTTGAAATACTAATATATTCCATTTATATATTTGCATTATATAAAAAAATAAAGTAACTATTCATAAACTCAGAGAACATTCATAAACAATAGTACATAATTGGTCTCTACTAACCATCCTCCTATAGAAAGAACACAAAAACTTAAGAACCACAACAAAAAGAAAACATTGTCTATAGGAGATACTAACTATCTATGGCTGGTATATTTTGAATATTTTCTATTGAAATTTGAAATAGTCAGAGTTAAATACATTTTAAAATAGGAATTAAAAGTCACCCACTAAGAAAGCAGTAGTCTTACCTGTAACGAACATGAAAAGAATGGTCTTCCCTCATGTTTATCAAATTTTCCTCCATCGAGTCATACTACAAGTTGAGTAAAATATGAAATTATTTTATTTTGTGCCAATCCAGTTCTTTACAATGTAGAATTTTTTGCAGAACATTGTCCGGTTAGTATATTAATGAGTTGGTGTTAATACATCCTAAGCTCCTGCTGCTTCTTTATTAATAATGAACGGAGGTCAATGTCAGACAGCTTAAAGGTTCAAAATGTGTCCCAAATCCTTGCATCTGTGGCCCTTTCAGCAGCACTTCAGCAACATTTCTGCAAAAGGAATACAAGATGCTCTGCTTGAAGTCCTACATTTTTGAAGAATAACCTACAGTAACCCTGAGCTGTACATAATCGCAAACGAACTCCACAGACTGCTGTCACGTCAATCACTACAGAAGACAGCAGAGGGCTTAACTGTCATTATGGAGCTTCTAAATAAGGATGTGAATATATGAGATCTATTTGAGAACTGCACTTAAGTTTAATTTTTTAAATTGGTTTGTAATACAATAGTTTTATATAATATTTCCTATTACAAATAATAGCAGAATGGTATGTATATTAGTATCTAAAAACAAAAGATAGTTTGAACTTTTAAAAACTGCTATTAACAAATCAAATCAAAATTCAATAATTATTTAAACAAGTCAATTACACACTCTGTAAATTTATTTCTTCAAAGACGGTATCACACTGACAATTAAGGTATATTTCATTTGCTCTCAAAGTATATTCTACTTAAGCTCTTTAAGGTCTTTAAAGTGTTTCTACTAAAATTGAGAGGGTACAAAAGAAATTTAGAAAATATGTGTATGGTAAAAAGAATGACACAATAAACATTTATATAATACCACCCAGTTCAAGATAAATAACACTACACCACTGCCTTTGAAGACTCCTGGGTCGGGCTCAGCCTAACCTGTCTCTTTCCTTTCCCCTCTGGAGTGATCTCTAAACTGAATTTTGTTCATTATTCCCTTGCTTGTCTTTACAACCCCACAAATGTCTGTATAGTCCTAAATAATACATCATTTAGTTTTGTATGGTTTTGCTCAACATGTTTCTGAGATTCATCTCAATTGTTACACACAGCTACAATTGGCATATTTGTATTGTTGTATCATAGTCCATTGTATACCAAATATATTTTTCATTCTGCTATTGATGGGCATTTGGATTGTAGCTTTTTGGATTACTGTTACTAAAAGTACTACTATGCACACTGATACTAACTCAATGTGCTAGTTAAGCAGCAGAGCAGATATAGTTAAAAAGAGAATAATAAACAAAAAGAAAAGCAATACTAAACGGTTCAGAGCGAAGGCGGACAAAATGAGAAGCTCTAAAATAGATCTAATAGGAGGACCAGAAGGAAGAATACAGGAGTAAAGGCAAAATCTTCAGTGATAAAGACTGAGAATTTTTCAGAATTGCAGACATGCAAATTGAAGAAGCACATTAATAAAATGAATCCATTCTCAGATATATCACAGAGGAACTACAGCATATCAGATATAAACTATAACCTCTGAGATAACAGTTAAGAGAGACAAATAAGATATATATGTGTGTGTATATATATATGAGATAAATTAATAGGTATACAATCATAAATTCCTGGAATCTTAGTGTTAGAAACAACCCTACAGGTCACTTAGTCTAACATTTTACTACAGCATTCCCAGTTAGGTTATAAAGCAGCTAATCCTAATCGTGAATAGTCCTATTAGAAAGTTGTTCCATACTTTGAGCAATCTTTCTATTTCTACCCATTTGTCCCAGTTCTTCCTTCTGCTGCCATATACACTAAACCCTAATTCCTCTTCTTCACAACATCCTTTTAAGTATTTCAGCTATAACACAAACCAGACTCTAAATAATTAACACCCACTACTTTGTTAATTAAGTACAGTTAGAGGTTAGTAGAGAACAGAGCAGTAAGGTGAGAGGGAGGAAAGAACCAGCCTTGGGAATACTGACAAAGCTTCCAAGAGGAAATGAAGTTTTCATATTAATAATCGGTTTGGCATGTAAGAGTCACAAAATATTAATCCTTTCATCCTTTCCCTTGGCCAACAAAGGAAGTAGCATCTTCTTGTTGCTTTGCTTTTGTTATTTTGGGTTTTTTTTTTTTCAGAGATGGGATCTCACTATGTCACCCAGGCTGGAATGCAGCGGCTAGTCACATTACCATCATAGCTCACCGCAGCCTCAAACTCCTGGTCTCAAGCAATCCTCTTGCCTCAGCCTCCCTGGTAGCTGGAACTACAGGCATGTGCCACCATGCCTAGCTAGAAAGCAATATCTTAAGAAAGGATGAAAAAGATATGTAGAAGCTATTAATACAGCAAATCTTCTTGTTTTCTTTTGTAAAGGTAATTAGTGTAGATCTTCATAGCAATAGCCCCAAAGTGCATTTAGAGTACACAGCAGCTAAACTGGCAACCAAACTGTCTTCCATTATCCACTATGAAGTTTAGGCTGTTATTTCTAAAATGGGACAGAAGGAGAGGTATTAGAATTAATTTAACTTAGAATTAAATTAAATTACAGTAGGCCTTCTATATATATGTGGGTTCCACACCCACAGATTCAACCAAGAGAGGATCAAAAATATTTGTGGGGGGGGGGAAGGATGGCTGAGTATGTACTGAACACATACAGACTTTTTTCCTTGTCATTATTCCCATAACAACTATTTACATAGCATTTACATTGCATTAGGTGTTATAAGTAATCTAGAGGTGATTTAAAATGTGTGGGAGGATATGCATAGGTTATATGCAAGTACTACACCATGTTATAGAAGGGACCTGAGCATCTGGGGATTCTAGAACCAATCCCCCAGGGATACCGAGGGACGATTATATATTTAATTTAAATATTTTTCTCATCCATGAGATAATGAAATTCCAAATTTTACCAATCACTTAAAAATGTTAATTCACTTATTAAAATGTAAACATGTAATCACTTACATGTTCGACAAATTAATAATAAATAAATGAATAAAAATAAATGAAGTTGTTCAATGTTGCTTTCTGATTGGTTAAAAAAAAATGAACAAATTAAATAAATAAATATATGAAGTTGAAAAATACCTTACCTGGTAAACTGCAAAGGGAATAATTTTTAACATAATTAAAACAAGAAGATAGAATGCTATTCACTGTTTTACTAAGGACAATTTATAACAGGGTCTTACTACTCTCAAAAGAATATCCAAAATAGTCCCTCTCACGTTACGATCTCTGTAACAATTCAGTAGCATTTCATATCTTAAAATTATTCACTGAACAAACAAGCAATTCTTGATTCATGATTCACGTTGCAAAAACTCTCTAACCAATTTAGTAACAATGTGATCACTTGTGCTCCACCTTACATGGAGTTAACAAACCCACTTCATATTTAACACTATATAGTGTGTGTGTGTGTGTGTGTGTGTGTGTGTGTGTGTAAGACTAGTAAAATTTGCAACAAATACTAAATTACAAATTTGTTCATTAGATAAGACAATTTTGTGACAGGACCAGGAACAGGAATGGAAATTATCGGTTTGAAAAAATATTGAGAAGTCATCAAGTTTAACCTCCAACCTCCATTAAGATTTACACCTAGTAATTTGTAAGGAACAAATCCATCCCTTAAATAGCATCTCCCATCTTCCAATGCTCCAGAAACCTCACTATTAACAAAACTGTTAGGTCACAGCATCTTTTGGTCTGACCATAAAGAAATAAAGAGAAAGCAATCATCTTTTCCATATCCCAGAAATTGACAGAAAGATCAACCAGTACACACCTCTTGCCTCACAGTTACCTGATTAGAAAGTCAAAATAGGCAGACTCTCTTTATACAGCTAGGTGGACTTCTAAACACTGTCCAAGGTATGCAATCAGCATAGGCAAGAAAGACTGGCTCTTTATCAAAGAAATCCTGGCTCTGGTTTACTCCATTGGCAATAAAAAACTTGCAAATCAGGTAATGAGGGAAAATGGGGGAAAGACAGATGTCATGCTTCTTTGAATTTATCTAAACTATCTGCCTGACTGCCACTTAAACGCCAATAATTTTTGATCTGTTTCATTCAATGATCTATATAAACTGGTAAGACCCATCAGATGATAAATACAACTTACTTTTCTTGCCCCCAGGTTAGATTATCTAAACTATATATAAACTTCTTTGATAAGCACAGCCATTTATTACTATTAATATTGGTCAGCCATCTGCTTCAATCAATACATATATATGATAATTTTAAAACAGTGCAATAGAAGTGATCCTTTCTACTAAGCACTGTTCTTGAGTTTGTACATGACAATAAATCAGTTCTCTTAACAGAACTTTAAAATGGCAAAATTGGTTTCAAACACATTTTTAAGTAGAAATAAATCCCAACTGCAAAAGGTTTATAAATGACTAAAATGGGTCCCTAGAGAGTTTCAGTTTAGAATTCTTCACAGGAAAATATATTAAACATGACTCTGTCCTCTCTTCCCAAAACTTATCACCATTCTATGGGAAAACATATGTTTCTATTCAATTCAATAATGTTATGAGATGGCATGGGAAGAATAATTCTAACTAAAAAGGACCAGGGAAAGCTTTTCGGAAGCAAGGACATCTGTACTATACCTTGAAAGATGGGTAGATCTTATTAGGCAAATGGAGGAAAGGCATTCCAGTCAAGGGAAATGGTTCAAGAAAAAGCAAGGAGGTAGGAATGCACAGAATGTTTTCCAGGATAAGCACATGGGGTTAGGAGTAGTGGAAAAGTCTGAGAGGGTAGAACAGTACCAGATTGTGAGGGACTCTGAATACACATTCAGCCTTGTGTTTACATAATAGGGAAACTTGCAGGTTTTTTTTTTTTTTGACAAAGGAATAGCAAAGTGGGATCTATGCTAGAAAAATAAACTAGCAGCAACATATAGAGCAGAATGGGGAGACAGAGGAGAGAAAAATACTGCAAAAACTCCGGAAACAACTATTGATTAGAAGCATCCTCACCATCTCACAAACACCAAGGACATTGCTTTGCACATAAAAGATGTCCAACAAACTTTTTGATTTCTTGCCTAGAAAAATATAGGAACTATGAAGCAGCAAAGAATCCTACAATAGCAAGAAAACCGGACTTTGATACATTTCTGCTCCGCAATAAAGATTATATTAAGATTCATATAAATAACTCAGAAAAGTCTTACT